ACTACTACTACTACTACTACTACTACTACTACTACAGCTGCTACTGCTGTACTACTACTACCACAGCTACTGCTACTACTACTGTTACTACTACTACTGTTACTACTACTACCAGCACAGCTACTAATATTGCTACTACTAATTCTGTTACTACTACAGTTACTACTACTGCTACTGCTAATACTACAACTAATACTGTATTGATAACTACTGATGTTGGTATTATTACTCCCGGTACTCCTACTTTTACTACCACTACCTACTACTACCAGAAACTACACAAATACCCTGTTACATGACTCGACTCCTGCAACTACTGCTTGTCCTACTATTCTAGCACTACAACTGCAACTGATTGTATTTTACAAGTTGTGAATCTGCCCTTCTGGATTTTCCGCACTTCCTGAGCCTCCCCTGAACGCAGCGTCTGGTCCTCATTAAACTGCAGTGTTTTCCCATGACCTCCATCTGCCCCGACCACTTCCTCAAAAACAAAACTTTATTTATATCCTACGCAAACACAGACCATGAGGAGCTATGACTGGACTAGACTAGACTAGACTAAACCAGGACTTAACCAGGACTAACTGGAAGGAGGATTGTGTAATGTTTTTGATAAGTGATGAAGTCCAGCTGAAGTCAAACTGGGTCAGACATACCAGGCTCCAGCTGAGGATTCTGGGTAGTTTCCAAAATGGCGATTATAAATAAAAATGTTGTGTTTGTGTAGGGGGTTCACTTCAGTTTGTGAGATAGTGTCAGTTAGATGTTGAGTCATGTTCTCAAGTAGTTTTCTGACACATTATTTTTACTTCGACTTGAGTAATATTTGCTATTTTCTGAAGTGTTTGCTCATCAAAAGCATAACACTCAGACTCTGCATATTTCGGCTCAGTTTTCAAACAGAAAACTCTCTACTCCTCCTTGTGGTGTCATGTGGTAATGCAGGAAGTGCTCCACAGTGTTTAACTCCATACATCTTCACTAGGATCAACTGTATATTTTTCAGATTTGGATCTACCGCTCAAATGATAAAAAGCTGCTGTTAACTTGAAAACTACTGCTTCATGCCATCACAAGTTGGAAAAGAGCATTTTGAGGAGAAAAAAACAACATAAAGGACTGAGAAACAGCACTGATTTTTACAGAATCAACAATCAAAGCACAAACTATTACTTATCTCATGTTATACACTGAAAAAACAACATCTAGATACGTTAAAATGACTTAAATTAAGAATATTTTACTTTAGTTGAGTAGATTCAACTTGACAATTAAAATTATCTACAAACTCTGCATATTTAGGCTGAGTTTTTAAACAGAAAACTCTTTACTCCTCCTTGTGGTGTCATGTGGTAATGCAGAAAGTGCTCCACAGTGTTTTTTAACTCGTATGTCTTCACTAGGATCAACTGGTTAAATTCATTTCAGATCTGGAATGGCAAATCTCTATGGATAAAAAGATAAAAAGCAGCTTTTAACTTGAAAACTACTGCTTCATGCAATCACAAGACTCAGAAACAGCACAGAGTTTTACAGAATCAACAATCGAAGCACAAACTATTACTTATCTCTGGTTATACACTAGGGAAAAAAACACAATATCAAGTTATAAGTTATACAGTAAGTTAAAATTACTTAAATTAAAAACATTTTACTTTATTTGAGTAGATTCAACTTGCTAATTAAAATTATCTACTAAAAGAATAAGTGTGTTTTTCTTAATTTAAGCAACATTCAAATATTGTTTCTTATTTTATGTGCAAAAAGTTATTGTTTTTATAATTTTAAGTGTAGTAACATGTATTTTCATATCTTAAGTAGAAAAAGTCTTGTTCCACTGGCAGATCATTTTACTTGTCAAGTGAAATTTACTCAAATCATGATAAAAGTTTCTTAATTCAAGTCATCTTAACTTGGCTAGATTTTGTTTTTTTGCAGTGGAAATTTTGTTCTGAATGATAAAAGAATTTTTTCGAGAGATGTTTTTTTGCATTTGAGAGACACGTGCTACAGATTAGTCTCAAGTTTGGACAGAGGTTTTTCACGCTCTTTGGTCCGATAAACTCTGATCCAACTCAACTAAAATCTTGCTGTCCTGAGCGTGGTCTGGCTCCTGCAGAGTTATGGACTGTGACGAGTTCATACAAAATCGAAAATGTTCCAGAAGCCGCCGTCACGTCACCGAGGTCAAAGGTGAAATGTGAGAGTTCAAAGGTTACCGCAGGTGACTTTTATCTTTAGGAGAAAATATTACTGATTTATGACCAAGAAATCAGGAAAAGAAAACTGACTCTGCAGGACTACCAAGCAAGGGCTACACCGGGACTAAACCAGGTCTAAACCAGGGCTGAACCACGGACTAAACCAAGACTAAACTAGGACGAAACCAGGACTAAACCAGGTCTAAACCAGGACCAAACCTGGACCAAACCAGGACTAAAACAACGCTGAACCAGCACTGAACCAGGACTAAACCTGAACTAAACCAAGACTAAACCAAAACTAAACCAGGTCCAAACCAGCACCAAACCAGGACTAAATCAGGACTAAACCAAGACTAAACCAGCACTAAACCTGGAATAAACCAAGACTAAACCAGGACTAAACCAAGACTGAACCTGGACTAAACCAAGACTAAACTAAACCAAAACTAAACGGGGTCAAACCACTAAACCAGGACTAAACTAGGACCAAACCAGCTCCAAACCAGGACCAAACCAGGTCCAAACCAGGTCCAATAACCTTCTTAAGACAGTCCTTGAATACTGGCTCCTGACTTTCCCAGGCCTTATTTGCATTTAGGTTGCTGTGAATCGATAAACTGGAGAATCCTGGTTCGATATTCGCTGAGTCGTGAAAAATCAATCAAGCTGAATTGGTCCAAAGCGTGACTCAGCACAAAATGGAATAATTAGAAATCTATTGACAATCAAACAAAACAAGTGTAGTGATTTTAAAGTGCTTGTATTATTTTCTGATCTATGTTATAATATTTCAACATCAAATCAAACCTGGACTTGTGTTTCCTTCACACATTTAACGCACAAACCCTGCTTCTACATTGTATTCTTATTAAAATACCATCATATAAATTACCACTCAAGTGACGGCAGTACAGTATGTGTAGTAGTAGTAATAGTATATTGTGTATTATTACACACAGGGACTAGTCTTAGTCATAAAACAAAATCTTCCACCAACTAATACTCAGTTTGCCTTACATTGCAGTATAACTATACACAAATATATATATATACATAGTGTTTTTGCATTCTTAGTGCAAAAATTACTGTGGCTATAAATATAACAACTGCATCTTGTAAACATGTTTTGCTTTTGATTGTGGTTGTGGTTTTGGTTCTGGTTGTGGTAGTAATAGCAGTAGTAGTAGTTGTTGTTGTAGTTGTTGTTGTTGAAGTAGGGGTAGTAGTTGTTGTAGTCATTGTTATAGTTGTTGCTGTAGTAGTAGTTGTTGTGGTAGTAGTTGTAGTTGTAGTAGTTGTAGTTGTAGTAGTAGTAGTTGTTGTAGTTGTTGTTGCTGTAGTAGTTGTAGTAGTTGTTGTAGTTGTTGTTGTAGTAGTTGTAGTAGTTGTAGTTGTAGTTGTTGTAGTTGTAGTAGTTGTTGTTGTAGTAGTTGTTATAGTATTTGTAGTTGCTGTAGTTGTAGTTGTTGTAGTAATTGTAGTAGTTGTAGTAGTTGTTGTAGCAGTAGCTGATGTAGTAGCTGTTGTAGTTGTTGTAGCAGTTGTTGTAATAGTTGTAGTTGTAGTAGTTGCAGTTGTTGTAGTAGTTGTAGTTAGTAGTTGTTGTAATAGTTGTAGTAGTAGTATTGTAGTAGTAGTAGTAGTAGTTGTAGTAGTTGTAGTAGTAGTAGTAGTTTTTGTTGACTCCCTGAGCTGCCGAGTGGATCAGCTGATTTAAACGTGCCTCTAAATGTTTCCATATGGTTCGTGCTTGACTGACCTCACATCTGCACACATCTGTGGACACACAGGCTCTGGACCTGCTGCAGGGAATTGTGGGTAAATCGAAGAGTACAGGGGTCAAAGTTTAATGAAGGTGAGCTCAGGGTAAAGCTCTGTAACCAATCACAATTAGACGCAGAGGAGAGGGGCGGGGCTTAAGGACAGCGATGCATTATGTCACTGGGAGATTACATTCATTCAAGATTCAGATTAAGATTCAGAATTTAAACAGGGCTAAAAAAAAAAGGAAAAAAAAGTTAAGCCTTGAGTGATGGTGGCAGGTTTGTCATGTTCTTGTCTTCATAGAGATACTTTTCAGTTTGCCTGGAATGTTCCACAGTATGGCATTAAATATATCTGCATTTCATTATTCAGCATAACATGTATTCTTCTCTGAACGTGGTCCACAGATCTGACCTGTAACTTGGTCTAGTGGGATCCTGTTTGCTTCCTGCTTGCTTTATCCATGGACATAGACATGCATAATGCCATACTGTGGAACATTCCAGGAATCTCCATGGAGACAAGCAGCTGGCCAACCATCCACCAGAAAAGTCAAGGCCTAACTTTCTTTTTCTCATAAATGACTTTCCCCTTCAAGTTTTCTGTAAAAGCTGAACTTCGTGACACATTTCTGACGGTTAGACATTGTCTTCATCCAATTGTGAAACATTTTATTTATTTCAAACTTGAGGCATGAGTCACTATGACGTTTTGTGATGAGAGATGATAAGTGACACGGGGTCCACCCTGTTTCACTTTCTGTTGTTCTAAAGTTGTGCTATTGGCTAAATATTTCATAGTCATGCACCAAGAGCTTTGTGAGAGACAGTGCTTAGTTAGACTGATTTAAATACATAGTTCAGTTTTCACCACTAAGATCTTGACTTTGGTCCTGCAGGTATTGAAAAATGGGTCATTGCAGAAAATGGATTGCTTACTGTTTACAATCATTTCCACCTTCCTAATATTTACCTACTATTTATTTATTTATGCATTTATTTATTTACATTTGATAAATGTCTGTTACAGGTCCGTCCTCCTCCAGTCCCAGTGCGCTGAAGCCCACCCCCCTCGACCCCTCCTCCTGCTCCCCGTGTGGACTTCAGGGACCTCTGGATGCCCCGGACACGTCGGCGTCCGGCTCTGGCCCGGCCTCTCTGGATGAGGCGGCGGGGCATGTGGACCCAGGGTTAGGGCCCGTGGACGAGGCTTTGTTGGTGAACGACACAGGACCTCCGGAGCTGCCAGGGGACGCTCTGACTCCCTCAACCAGGAAGAGACTGCCCTCTGGGGCCTAAACCACAGAGTAAGAATTTTCATCTGCGATACGTTTCTTAACCTAGTTTAGACCTGGATTAGTCCTGGTTTAGATGTAATATTGTCCTGGTTGGTCCTAGTCTAAAGGTCCTATATTACACAAAACTGACTCTTGTGAGTTTTTAGCCATGTTAGAATGTTGTTACCTGATTAAAAACACACCTGAAGTTGCTTTGTATGAGTGGCCTTTTATTATTGACTAGATACAGATCAGAAAATAGCATAATATCGGCTCTTTAACACGTCTTTCTCTTCTATAGTTCCTCCAAAGCCGCCTCACCTCCAGCAGGTGTCCACGCCCAGGCTCCGCCCCCGAGCTCCAGAGAAGCCCCTCCCACCAGCGCCCTGCAGGCCCCTCCCCTCGGACCCCCGCAGCCTCAGGCCCCTCCCCCGAGATGCCACGGCCTCCCCCACCTCTGTACTGTCGCTCATCGAGAAGTTTGAACGGTGCGTATTTTTAGTAATCTCGAAAACACACTGTGTAACTTTTCTGCTTGTTACTATGGTTATGTCATTGCTCTGCCTGGAATGTTCCAGAGTATGACATTAAACAGCTCTATCTTACATTTATTCAATTACAGGTGGTTTTATTGGTGGTTTTATTTTAAAAAAAAGGCATTCTGACTGTAAGCGGGATCACTTCTCCACAGATCTGACCTGTAACTTGGTCTGGTTTGGTCTCCATGATGAAAGAAAGGTTTAATGCCATACTGTGAAACATTCCAAACAAAGCAATGATATCTCCATGGAGAAAAGCATTTATCGGACCCTCTACCAGAAAAGTTACACAATGGACTAGGGATGTAACAGTAACCAAAATATCGTGATATTGTATCGTCAAAAGTGTCACAATAATATCGTGAGCTGTCACAGTATATCGAATTACAAAATCCTTTGCATAAAAGCATGGTTTTATTGTAGCCATAGCTAAAAAACATCAGGAACTACATATCCCATTATGCATTTCAACTCAGACAACATGAAGAAATATGTTTTTACTTGAATTATTGGGATTATGACAGTAATAATTCACACCAACATCTTGTCAGGGTATTTTAAAAGCAAAAAAGTGTCCTATCTACAATTATATCACCCTCTCCAAAATATTGCAATAAATATCGTACCATATCGCATATCATGATAATATCGTACCGAGAGATTTGGATATCGTTACATCCCTACAATGCAGCTTTAATTCTGAATTTGTAAAATGTATGAAATACAAAAAAAAAAATTACAAAAAATAAACACATAACATACATAAGCTCCTATATTACACCAAATTGATTCTTGTGAGATTTTAGCCATGTTATAATGCTGTTACCTACTCAAAAACAGACCTGGAGCTGTGTTTTTGTTATCAGTCTGTTTACATCTCCAAAGCTCAAAATACTGTTCCACCTTCCACGCTGTGTTTTCAAGTCAGCAGTTCTTTTCACCTTCAGTTCAGTAGGGATTAGCAATTCCAGGACTGAAATCATCCAAATGATTCCTGTTTTACCACTTGGCATCACTTGAGTGTTTTCGGTTTGAGAGAAGAACTCAGCCTAAATATTCAAGGTTTGTGTTTTCAGCTTGAAACAAAACACAACTCCAGGTCTGTTTGTGATGAGGAACAACTTTATAACATAAATCATAAAGTAGCTCAATATGGGTCCTTTTAATTAATATCAGAAGCCTCATAAATCTGAATCATCTTTAATAAACTTAACTTAAAATGTATTTGTTCATGATGAATTAATCCTATCTTCATGCCTTACTATAACAAATGAAGATGTAGTTTTTCATAAAGTGTAACCCAGGGGTCTCCAGGCTTTTTACTCCGGTGAGCTACCTTTACAAAACGAAAATACCAGAGCTACTAGTTTTAGCGGTCACAAGTAACTGAGTAAATATAAGAGCCGTGGCCTTACATGAGGTACAGTTAGATGTCTATAGAACATAGGGGTGTCAAATTATCGCGTTAATTGCGATTAATTAATTACAGTCATATTTAACGCGTTATGTTTTTTAATCGAGTTAATCTCATTTTTAATCTCTAACTTTAGTGTTTCTGTATGAGAGTTGCTTTATTATAAAACCTGTTTTTATGTGTTGTTGGGACAATAACACACACACACACACAAAAACCACATTTATACATTTTTTTATTTCGGTAATTCCTCTCATTGCTGGAAACCCACACAAAACGCGCGCAGTAAGAGTGATGTAAACGTCATGTTAAAGTTGGCGGCGTCAGGCACAATGGACGAGGTCGTAGAGCCAGTAGAACAGAGTCAGCAGTGCACAGGTAAAAACACATTCGTGTCTTGGAAATTATTCTCCCGACGTGAAATATAAAAGAAAATAAGTAATATAATATCGCCTACAACTTAAATGTCACTGGTGAAAACAACCTGCATAGGCTCATGATGTCTGCACTACTGTCCTATAGTGACCTGCCACATGAGGGGACACGCACACAAACACACACAAACACAAACACACACAAACACAAACACACACCTTCATCATCGTCATTAACCTGAGAAAGCGCGGACCACGTTTCCTTCCGTAGACACTGCGCGGACACCGACGTGCTCCCGTGAGCCGCGTGTGGATCATGTTTTCTCGCTACGCTGCGTAAACCGCGCTTCCTCCTGTGCGCCTCTAAACCAGAACTAACACCAAGACTAAAACCAGGACTTATCCAGTCCAGGACTAAACCAGGACTAAACCAGAACTAAAACTAGAACTAAAACCAGGTCTAAACCAGGTCTAAACCAGGACTAAACCAGAACTAAAACCAGAACTAAAACCAGAACTAAAACCAGAACTAAAACCAGGTCTAAACCAGGACTAAACCAGGACCAAACCAGAACTAACACCAGGACTAAAACCAGGATTAATCCATTCCAGGACTAAAGTAGGACTAAAGCAGGTCTAAACCAGGACTAAAACAAGGACTAAAATCAGTGATCTCATATATAAAGCATTTCTCTATCAATAATATTTTTAATATGGTTAAGGAAAGACTGGACTTTTTATTGTCTTTAAGTAGACAAAAGTTATTATGTTCAGATTTCCTCGTCTTTGCTACTTTACAGCAAACAGTTTCTTATTCATGGAGACTTGGGCTCAACAGCCAAATTGGAGAGATTTGTTAAACAATAAATGACTTTATAAAGTCACTTTTTAAAATCTATATCAGTCTTTTGATCTGCCACAATAATGTAATAATGAATTTAAATGAAAATACCTCAAATTGAAGGCTTTTCTCAGCAATTTTTAGGTGAGATTAAAATGAGATTAATTAGATTAATTAATTACAGATCATAATTAATTAATCTCTCAATTTTTTTAATCGCATGACAGCACTAATAGAACATAAACCATTATCCATAGGAGGGCACAAAGTTAGGCATCAAAATGATACATGCATAATGGTAATAGGCACAATACTCAGCACAATACGTGTAATTCAGAAATCCCATGGCAAGCTACTTGGAAGGGGATGGAGAGCTACCAGCAGCTCCCAAGCTACAGGATGGAGACTCCTGGTGCAACCTATATAACATATACATTGTATTTTTCGGACTATAAGTCGTAAGCCAAATAGTACTTAATGAAGAAATAACCGGACTATAAGTCACACTTTTTGGGGGGAATTTATTTTATAAAATCAGAGACCAGGAACCAACATTTCATCTTGAAAGTCATGTTATAGTAGTAACAGGCTGAATAGGCGTCTAGTGTGTTAGCATAACATATGAACAGTTATTCAGATAACTATAGCATAAACAACATAACAGAACAAGTTTACCAAATTCTCCTTCTCACTTCAATTCACTAAATCCACTGAATTCTTCATCCTTGGTGTCACTTCTGAGCAACTCCTATAGAACTATATAGAACTAACTACGGAGCACCGCTTCCTCTTCTGTGTAGCTGTCGATAGACTCAGCATCAATTCCAGTTAGAATTATTCTGGCCTTTCTGAATCCCGACAGGATGGTTTTGGTGTCACTGAAGTTCATGTTTTGTCGATCCATCCAGTGACTTCCAGGAAAGGCGCATGGTGCACTGAAACTGTGTTCTCCATCCTCGCTTTCTGCCAGTCCCTCACAAGTTTCTCACTCACTCCAAACTTTTTTTCTGCTGTTTGATTATCATTTTCACCTGCATATTTCACTACTTGCAGCAGGACAGTGACTTTTTCTGCAGGAGACTTGCACAGTAGAGTGAAGTAACAGTGGTACAGGAGTAATAGGAATAGCCGATACTGACACACAAACCTAGAGCGTCCTCTCATGGCTGTCAGTGAGAGAATTTTAATATATAAGTCGCACTGGAGTATAAGTCTTAGGACCACCCAAAGCATGAAAAAAGTGCAGCTTATTGTCCGAAAAATACAGTATATGTATTTATATTTGACCCTGTTTTGTTCCCACAGTGAGCAGCTCATCATGGTCCCTGACATCACCGGCGGAGCCCTGTGTCCCCGCCTCCCTGTCAGCGACATCACATGTCACCCGTGTTCCTCTTCCTCCTCCACCTGCTCCTCTCCCTCTCCTCCTTCATCTCCAGTCCCACTTTTAGACCCAGACAACAAACTGCCTGAAACCGAAACAGTAGTAGAAGAAAATCAACCAATCGATCAAGAGCAAAGTGCCAAAAATGATGACGACGAGGAGGACTTGGGGGCGTGTGCAGACGTCAACAAACGCTTGTCTTTAGAATCTGGGTACAGCGCATCAGAAAAACACCTGGAGGACATAGTGGAGCTGAGAGACCCGCCCCCGCAGGTCATCGGCCAATCAGAGCTGCTGAATGAGCGCTTGTCCCTCCCCTCCTCACAGACGGATGGAAAATTGGCCAATCGGGACAGCGGCATTGACAGCATCAGCTCCCCGTCTCACAGCGAGGAGCTCTGTTTTGCTGGCGTGGACGAAGGGGGTGTGGCTTATTCATGCAGCCCCGCTCACATCAGAGAAGAAGGGGGTGGGGTCAGGAGGAGGCGGGATTTATCCGAGGAGGGAGACAGCGATCTGGAGGAAGAGGCGGAGCTTACACTGGTGCTGCCCGCGACAAAGACTGACAGACAGGATTCAGTCGAGGTGAGAGTACTACTATTACTACTATTACTACTACTACTACTACTACTGCTGCTGCTGCTACTGCTGCTGCTACTGCTGCTGCTACTGCTACTACTACTGCTACTACTACTGCTACTACTACTACTACTACTACTACTACTGCTACTACTGCTACTGCTACTACTACTTAAACTAACACTATACTACTGCTATTACTGAAACTACTACTGAAGCTGCTAGTACTACTACTTAAACTACTACTACAACTGAATTCCACTACTAATACTACTGCAAGGCTACTACTGATTACCATACATTACTGCTGCTACTACTGAAACTACTGAAACTACTAATACTACTACTACTGCTGAAACTACTACTACTGAAACTACTAATACTTCTATTAATATTTCTACTAGGCCACTGATTACTACACATTACCACTACTACTACCGCAAACCTGATGTGAGTACTGCGTTCTGTCATTGTTGTTCAGGTGTTTTGTGCTCGTCTCATGGAGGAGTCCCGGGCTCGCTCCTCGTTCCCCTGTGACGTGGTCCAGGGAATCTTCTCAAACATCTGCTCCATCTACTGCTTCCACCAACAGTTCCTCCTGCCCGCGCTGCAGAAACGCATGGAGGAGTGGTCAGTGACTCTGCGGTTCTGTTTTTCAAATGTTCAACACGATAAGACAGAAAGAGCAGGTCCGCTGATTTATGACAACGATGGTTCTGTAAAGTGAAAACCAAGGCTGATCCTTTATGGAAAAAAGCATAAAACAAACAAATAAAGCAATAAAGAAAAGGGAGGGAAGGAAAGAAGGAAGGAGGGAAAGAAAGAAGGAAGGAAGGAAAGAAAGATAAAAAGAAAGAAGGGAGGGAGGAAAGAAGGATGAAAGGATGGACGTAAGGAAGAAAGGAACGAGCACTGAAGGATGCAAGGAAGGAAAGAAGGATGCAAGGATTTAAGGAAAGCAGGATGAAAGGATGGACGTAAGGAAGAAAGGAACGAGCACTGAAGGATGCAAGGAAGGAAAGAAGGATGCAAGGATTTAAGGAAAGAAGGATGGAAGGAAGGAAGGAAGGAGAAAAAGAAGGAAGGAAGGAAAGAAGGAAGAAAGGGAGGAAAGAAGGAAGGAAGTGGGGAAGGAAGAAAGGACGGAAGGAAGAAAAGAAAAAGAAAGAAAGAAAGAAAAAAGAAGAAAGGAAGGAAGGAATTAAGGAAGGAAAGAAGGAAAGGAAGAAAAAAGAAGGAAACTAAGAAAGTAGAAAAAGGGAAATAAAGAAAGAAGGAAAGAAAAAGAAATATGAAGGAAAGGAAAAAAGGAAAGAAAGAAGGATGAAGGGAAGGAAAGACAGAAGGGAGGAAAGAAGGAATTAAAGAAAGACAGAAAGAAAGAAGGAGGGAAAGAAAGAAAATTAAAAAAAAAAAAGGAAAGGGGAAGAAAAGGGGAAATAAAGGAAGAAGGACAGAAAAGAAACAAAGAAGGAAAGGAAAGGACAGAAAAGGAAGGAATGAAATAATCGTAATAAATATTTGAAAATGATTATTTTTATCCTGTCAAAATTTTACCTGAAGAGAAACTTTTACATTTATAAAAAGTGTTTTGTAAGTGTTTTGAAAGTCACTAGATTCGACTAAAGCTTTGCCCCAAATGAAACTAAAACTAAACTAAACTTTTGAGGGGAAAAAGAGTGCGAGAAGCATTAGTAGATACAAGTACATTTTATGACCGACCTGGCCTGATAGATACAGTACTATTATTGTATTTTAAATATATATTACAAATTCATTGCTTCACATTGGCGCCCCCTTTAGGTAGCAGTGCGTCTCTGTAACACATGGTTTGCTCTTCGTAGGGACTTGAATCCTCGGATTGGAGACATCCTGCAGAAACTGGCCCCGTTCTTAAAGATGTACGGAGAATATGTGAAGAACTTTGACCGAGCCATGGAGCTGGTCAACATCTGGATGGAGCGGTCAGCTGCGTTCAAGGCCATAATACAAGATATACAGGTATGTTCATATACTTAACTGATAAGTAAGTGAGAAAAAATATTTTTACTATCTGTTTTCATCATTTCATTGCAAAAAACATCTGAATATGACATTTTATTAAATCAGATCCAGCTTTAAGGTCATATATTAGACAAAACTGACTCTTGTGAGCTTTAAGCTGTGTTAAAATGTTGTTACCTCCTCAAAAACAGACCTGGAGTTGTGTTTTGTTCAGTTTATTTGGATAATTTCAGATCCTGAATTGCCAATCTTGACTGAAATAAAGGCAAAAGGTAGCTGTTAACTTGAAAACTACTGCTTCAGGACATCACAAGGTGGAACAGAGTCTTTACTTTTTTGAGAGAAGAACTCAACCTAAATATGCAGGACCTGTGTGTTAAACATGTGTGAATGAAACAAAACACAACTCCAAGCATGTTTGTGATGAGGAAACAGCATTATAACATAACTTAAAGCTCACAAGAGTCCATTTTGTGTAATATAGGACCTTTAGTCTGAAAATAGAACTAATTTTACCCCAAGATATGGTCAGTTATATTTTAGCTCGACCCACTTTCATTGAAAATTTGCAGTTTCTGTTCATCTTTTACTATAGTTAGACACAAAATCTACTAATAACTCACTAATATGATGATGATGATTATTATTATATTAAAGCCAGTGTTTCTTGTTGTATTTCTGAGCTATAAAATCACCTGTAATTTAATAAATGTAAGGTAGAGCTGTTTTATGTCATTCATGTGTAACAAAAACAGGTACATAGTGCAGCTTTAAGTTTGCATTTTTTTTCTATTACTAAAGGTGGACACAAAGTTATTATTACTACTCTACAAATGCATGTGTTTTGTGTTGCAGAGGGAGGAGCGCTGTGGAAACCTGACTCTACAGCATCACATGTTGGAGCCTGTTCAGAGGATTCCCCGATACGAACTCCTGCTCAAAGATTATCTGCACAGACTGCCCGAGGACGCCCCCGACTACAGCGACGCTCAGAGTAAGACACGGGGACAGTGTATGGGCGACATGGCAAAGGAGATTAAAAAACTTGTGTGCAGCTGACAGAATTAATTGAATTTCTCCTTTGTAATGGATCCTACTTGGACGACAAATACGGGGGACGTAGTTTAGACATGTGACCTGACTGATGGAGACTGGACGGTGTTTGGTGCAGAGGAGGGATTGTGAATACTGTATTTACACTTAGACTTAGACAAACTTTATTGATCCACAAGAGAAATTATTTAGCCACAGTAGCTCACAGCATATTATAATAACAAAGAGAAATGGTATAATAAATTCCAAATAAATAGCAGAAATAGTAAAAGACTGATGTCAAATAAGGCATAATTATTTAAATGTATATGTACAAGTAAAAAAATATATAGAAATATAGTAATAAAAATATATCTTAGCTACAGACAGCAACAACAACAAAAATTATATGATGATTGACAGGACATAAGGTTATTTATAGAAAGGTACACAAATGGATGTGGGTGAAAAAGGAGTTGATAAAATTGTTCACTTTAAAATATTTTTATGTTATATTAGGTCCTGGATTGTTTTTGTTGTTAAAATACTACACCTTTGGAAACAAGAAGACAAATTACACTGTACCACTTTAACATACACCATTTAAAAAATAAACTAAGACATATTACATTTATTTCAAATCAACATTTAATTTCTGTATCCTGTAAGTAGTTCTTGCGTTTTCCTGCAACTTCACAAACTTTAACTTGACTTAAAGATGCATTGTGTGACTTTTCTGGTTTCACAGTATGGCATTAAAGCTTTCTATCAACATGGAGACCAAACTAGACCAAGTCACAGATGTCAAGAGTCAGATCTGTGGAGAGGCGACCCCACTCACAGTCAGAATTTATGTTTTTCTAGGTATTTTTGAGCTTTAAAACCACCTGTAATTGAATAAATATAAGGTAGAGCTGTTTAATGTCACACTGTGGAACATTCTAAGCTGAGCGATTACATATCCATAGAAACAAGCAGCTGAAAAGTTACATATCGCACCTTTAAATTAGGTTTTGAGGTTGTGTAGGTTGCTTTCATTGTGTCAAAATACTAATTATACCTTTCCTTATACACCTTTCACTGTAAAAATGCTAAACAAATGCACGGTAAGATTAATGTCATACTGTGGAACAATCAGGGAAATGAATTACATCACCATGGAGACAAGTTACACTGTGCATCTTTAACATACACTAGAAATATTACATTTATTTCAGTTCTGTATCGTGTAAGGAGTCAGTGCATCTTCTGAACTGGCTAAAAAATAAAACTATAATTAAATTTCAAAGTTATATTTACAAAACAAATCTAATATATTTTTGTTTTTGTTTTTGTGCAGAGTCTCTGGAGCTGATCGCCACGGCAGCAGAGCACTCCAACGCTGCCATCAAGAAAATGGTAAAACCGGCACTTTCCTCATTATGTGTGTGTTTAAGCTCCGCCCACTGTGTAAACAAACCCCGCCCCTTTCACAGCGAGGCGTTCACTTTCCCCTGTAATTAAGATGCTCTAATTAAAGGCAGGCCTCCAGCGCAGCAGCCACCACAAGACACAGTTTATAACCCAATGTGGGAATGTACAGTACAGATTAAGATGGAGCAGACTGGAATACTACTACTACAAATACTACAGTACTACTGCTAACACTACTACTATGTTAAAGAGAGAGTATCTGACAGTAATTGACTTTTTTGGAGATTTCTACCATGTTATAATATTGTTTCGTCATCAAAAACATGCGTAAAGTGGTTTTGTATGTAATCCAAGCAGGTTTGAGTAATTTAGTGATCTCTCCTGGGCTTAGCTTTTACCTCCCACATGACGATTCGACATAAATAAATATACAAAATCATAATTAGTGTGACCAGACGTCCCTGTTTACTCGGGACAGTCCCAGTTTTGAGCCCTGTGTCCCCTGTCCCAGCAGATTTATACAAAACCAGTGATTTGTCCAAGTTTTATGCAAGAAGTGTTCCAGGTGAATCCGTGTATCAGTCGTTCATTTGTTTTTCAAAATAAAACCAAAAATAGGAAAATGAAAAAAGCAACTTTTTTTTTCTTTTTTTTTTGTCTCCAAAGTTTTGCTGGTTTAGTCCTGGTTTAGTCCTGGTTCAGTCCTGGTTTAGTTCTGCTTCAGTCCTGGTTCACGTCTGGTTTAGTCCTCATTTAGACTTGGTTTAGTCCTGTTTCAGTCCTAGTTCAGTCCTGGTTCACTTGTAGTTGGTTCCTGGTTCAGTCCTGGGATCAGTTCTGGTTTAGTCCTGGTTTAGACCTGATTTAGTCCTGGTTCACTTCTGGTTCACTTCTGATTTAGTTCTCATTTAAACCTTGTTTAGTCCTGTTTAAGTCCTGGTTCAGTCCTGGTTCAGTCCTGGTTCACTTCTGGTTTAGTCCTCATTTAGACCTGGTTCAGTCCTGTTTTAGTCCTGGTTCAGTCCTGGTTTAGTTCTCCTGGTTCAGTCCTAGGATCAGTCCTGGTTTAGTCCTGGTTTAGACCTGTTTAGTCCTGGTTCAGTCCTGGTTCACTTCTGATTTAGTTCTCATTTAAACCTTGTTCAGTCCTGGTTCAGTCCTGGTTCAGTCCTGGTTCAGTCCTGGTTCAGTCCTGGTTCAGTCCTGGTTCAGTCCTTAAGTGGCACAAAAGTCCGGCATTGCAGTTTAAGTCCCAGGAACTAGAAACGGCCGTTATCCGTTTTTTGGAGACAAATAACGAAGAAAATAGTTGTTTTTTCGTTTTCTTATTTTTGGTTTTATTTTGAAAAACAAATGAATGATAAATAAATAACTAAATGTATTTCTTGAACATCTACTACTGTTCTGTTCTTCCACCATCGTGTTGTTTTCTGTGGTAGTTCTGGTTTAGCACTGATTTTCAACCTATTTTTATTGATTTATTTTTTATTGTTCCAGGAGCGTATGAGGAAGTTACTAAAAGTGTATGAGTTACTGGGAGGAGAGGAGGACATCGTGAATCCAACAAACGAACTGATCAAAGAGGGACACATGCTGAAACTGTCCAACAAGAACGGGACCACACAGGACCGCTACCTCATACTGGTGAACACTTCAGTCTTTATTCTCTATTCTCTACTTATTTGTCAAAAAGAGTTTTCTGTGAGTAGATTTTAATTTTGTTTTATTGTGTGTCTGTTCAGTTCAATGACAGGCTGCTGTACTGTGTCCCAAAACTGCGCCTGATTGGTCAGAAATACGGAGTCCGAGCCCGGATCGATGTGGACGGGATGGAGGTGAGACACGTTTATTCTGCGAGCATTCAGTAACTATGGTAACAAGACCTGGGCTAGACCTGGGCTAGATCTGGGCTAGACCTGGACTAGACCTGGACTAGACCTGGACTAGACCTGGACTAGATCTGGACTAGACCTCTTCTACAAGCATTCAGTCACTATGGTGACAAGACTCGGGCTAGACTCGGGCTAGACTGGCTAGACCTGGACTAGACTTGGGCTAGACCTGGACTAGACTTGGGCTAGACCTGGACTAGAACTTTCTTACAAGCATTCAGTCACTATGTTGACTAGACCTGCGCTAGACCTTTTTTATAAGCATTCAGTAAATATGGTGACAAGACCTGTTATACATCAGAACTGAACTGGGCTGGGACTCTTCTGAATGCGCCCAATGACATGACAGTAACTGTTTTTTTTCTTTGTCGTTCACAGCTGAAGGAAACCAGTAGCATTGCAGTTCCTCGGACGTTCCTCATTTCAGGGAAGCAGAGATCTTTGGAGCTACAGGCCAGGTACAAGAAATATACTGTTATTATAAAAACACAGCACCTGTTTAACCAAATATATGTCATATGTCATTTGTTTAATCACAGGTGTTTTATAGCTCAGACAAGCAGAAAAGTTATGAAATATGAAAAAATATGTAAAAAATAAGTGAAGTATTTTATGGCTGTGGTGGTAGAGGTACTTGTTTTCTAGCCTTTCTCAAATACTATCTTTAAATCGAGACATTATCAGTGAGTTAGAAGCATGACTGAAGCAGAAGTATGGCAGTTGTTTTGTAGGTAAATAAACGCTGTGATCTTGTGATAAACATGCTCAGACTGAACCCTCTCTGATTTCAGGACAGAGGAGGAGAAAAGGGACTGGATACAGGTAACAACAACACACACACTGAATATATTGTTTTAGCTAAATAAAACGCTGATTTATTTGTTAGTTAAAGAGATGGTGAAGAAACATGTTAAACTGATATATACAAGTTAATTTCCACTGTCAAGGTCATTTACAGTTTTAATGTATATAATTACCTTTTGTATTGAAGGTCTTCTACTGGTACTAGTTATTTAAAGAGCCCATATTACGCTTTTTTATTACATTTCCTCATCAAAAACAGACCCGGAGTTGTGTTTTGTTTCATTCACACATGTTTATCACACAAATCCTGTATATTTGGGCTGAGTTGTTGTCTCAAACGTGAAACACTCTGTACCACCTTCTGATGCCGTGTGGTAATACAGGACGTGCTCCACTGTGTTTTTAAACTCCATACACCTTCACTTAGCCTTGATTCATCAAACTGATCTCGCAGCATTAGGATTCGTTCGCCCGACTGTAGGCAGGTACTTTTTTTATTCAACCAATCACTGCTATTTCGTCATGACGTATGTAATGCACCAAATCCCGAAGGAAGAAGGGCAATAACGTCTTTCTCCTTGATAAAATTCAGCAAACATTCTCTTTATTCCGGCTTTAAATCCTCGATCTCGGGAATTGTTGCCAACACAGAATGTATGTCTTCGTCTAAATCCATCTCAACCACTTTGTTTACTGTTGTGCTGTACCACAAAAGGGACCCAGACAGGCGCTTGAGTTTGACGTCATGGCTTCACAGCTCTTCGCTGATTGGCCGGTGCGTGGTCTATGACTTCCGGGGTTCTTGCAAACCGTCTAGTGTATTCTGATTCCTGATCTAGTCGCTGGAGAGCAATGAAATTGAGCGGAGGCCTGGCTAACCTTCACTAGAATCACTGAGAAAATCACTTCAGACCTGGAATAGCCAACCTCTACTGAAGAAAAATATCTGTTAACTTGAAAACTACTGCTTCATGACATCACAAGGTGGAACAGAGCATTTTTGAGCTTTGGAGATGTAGACAGCCCAATGAGAATGAAACAAAAACACAACTCCAGACATGTTTTTGAGAAAGTAACCACATTATAACATGCCTTAAAGCTCACAAGAGTAAATTTTGAGTAATATCGGACCTTTAAACTACAGGAGATTAGACCTAAATGTTATGATCATGTTTCAGGCGATCCAAGTGACGATCCAGAGACATGAGCAGACCATGGAGAACTACAGACTCACCTGCTCCCTGAGAGACGAGGACTCCACCCCTCCACACTCACCGGTAAGCACCATGAAGATGACATTGTTGTTTTGTTTTTTTTTATAAGAAATATTTACAAGGAAAACCCACAAAGGTTAAAGCTGATTATTATTATGAGTGAGTAGGACCTTTTATATTACAACAAACTAACAAAGGATCCATATTAATTTGACTTATAGGTCTAGGGAAGGGGTCACCAAACTTTTTTCTCTATGGGGGGCCAGGGTCGGAATTGTGTGACCCTTGATGACGCAGATTATATTCTTTGAAAATCTGCCACACTTTCTTTACATATTATACTGCACAGTCCTTACACTGAACAAAAAATAATGGGTCGTCCACTGTTCTTTGAAAACTGGGCACTCTCTGTCAACGTATTGTGCTTTAACACTCATCATTTTTCTGTCCTTAACTGCACTACAGAACTCTACGTGTGCTTTGACTGTCACTGTTTGATCTTGAGCTTGTCAGATGATGAAAATTCTGCGTCAAATGTAAATATGTCATATAATTATTAAGATATAAAATAAAAACTTCATATGAATATCATTTTTTAATTTAAGAAAAAAAAAAAACAAATACAAGATGCAGACATGTTATTATTTGCCAAAAAGTAATTAAAAAAAAATAGGCCATAACAACTTCTGGATTTCAGTTTAGCAAAAATTACTACCAAGAAATCATGCAAGGGACAAAAAAAATGTAATATCTTCTGATACATGGATCTTCTCTCAAAGTTGAGGTTGTAGAGTTCAACCTCTTGTCTAATTCGTCTGTGGCTCAGCAGGTTCAACATTGTCCTGTTTTTGCTGTGGAGTCTTTTTATCGGTGTTTCTCAGATTCTGGGGTTTGTTAGAGGCTGAACAGTGTCCTGCTTTGACCCTTGAACTGTCTCTGGCTGTGACCCTGTTTCAGGTT